AAGAATCCTGGGATTCTGCTTTGTACCACACCAAACTGGGCTCCATTGCTCCCCATGACAGGTGAGTGTGTGCGACTGTGTGTGTGTGTGTGTGTGTGTGTGTGTGCGCGCGCATGCGCGCAACCATCCAAGTCCACTCATGCACACCGTGTAAGGGAGGCGAGTTTTCTCCTTGTTCCTTCAACATTTGTGCTCATGCTATTTAGAGCTACTGGTCCTCAGGACCCCTGGATCCTAATGCTCTAGACCTCATCATCCACCACCATCCTGAGGGAGGTGAGCAACCATTTCCCCCATGATCTACATCAAGAAACTGAGGCCAAGAAAACACATAAGGCTAGAGAGGCAAAAGGGCTCTAATCCCACAGGAATCGGTGACCTCACAGCAGGGCTCCATCTGCCTCCTATCTGAGGCCCCATGGGCTTGCCAGAATCAGCTCTCTGTTCATGCTGCCAGGTCCTCAGAGGTTTGTACCTCTCAGTGCACCACAAAAGAGAGATGGGGTGGGGGGCCCTGACCCAGGTCAACCCCAGAGCAGGAAGGATGAGGGTTGGGGCCTTCTGGAAGCGAGGAGGGGAAAGGGTCTTCTCAGGCTAGGGTCCCCAGGGTGAATGAGCAGTCACCCTCCCAGAGCCAGGCTCCATAGGGCTCCTCCTGCCACAGAGCGAGCAGATGTGTCATCCCCTCCTCCCCATCAGTGTTTCTGAATGTGGGCCCGACGTTGTAGAGCTCATTTTGGATCTGTGCAGGACAGAAGGCTTGGGAGAGGCAGACTGGGGACTTCAGGCAGGGTTCTGGCTCATGACTAGGGGAATCCGGCACCTGGGGGACTCAGTGACCTTTGTGCCCTTCCTATTTGGTGCCATATTATGGGACCCTCTGCATGTCCCTCCATCGTTCTGGAGCTCACATGTCTCAGGCTGCCAGGCAATGGTCTGCATTGGCCTCTCCCCAGCTATTCACAGTCCTTGGCACCAGGACCTTCAGAGCGGCAGGAGTTAGGAGGGCAGGCTTTGGGGTCAGACTCAAGTACACTTACAGTCAGATTCTGGTTCTCTGCTCAGTAACTGGTTTACTCCATGCAGGCTGCAGTAACAGAATGCCATTGACTGGGTACATCGTAAACAATAGAAATTTGCTTCTCATAGTTCTGGGAGCTGAGAAATCCACGATGAGCAGCAGGTTCTGTCTTTTCACTAGAACCTCATATGGCTCATTTATAAAAGCACTTATCCTATTCACGAGGGCTCTGCTTTCATGAGCTAATCACCCTCAAAGGCCTCACCTCTTAATACCCTCACACTGGTGATTAGATTTCAACATATGAATTTGGAGAGAGGCACAACATTCAGCACGTAGAAGTAATTATAAGACCTTAAGCTAGTTCCTTAACCAATCCTCACCTCAGCGTCCCCATCTGTGCAATGAGAATGGTAATAGCACTGTGCTTACATTCCAGGACGGTGAGGGATTAGGGAGGTAATACACGCAGCTTAGTGTGGGACCTGGCCCACCGGAAGCATCCAGTAATTGGCAGGCATTACTGTTACGATTATCAGAGGAGGGCAGAGCCATCCCAAGTGAGGAGCTGAACAAGGAGTAAGAGAGCTTGTTAATAGGTTCCTGATCCTCAGGAAGCTTTTCAAGTCACCAATATAAAGGTGCAGGGAAAGGATAATGTGTTTGTATTTCTAAACCACAAGCCGATCCGTATCTTCCCTCTTTGGCCCTAACCTGGAATCTCTGCCCTGGCTGCTGGTGCTCAATGTTACAACAGGCCTGACAGACACAGGCTGAAAGATTGGAAAGTGCTGCCTCGAGGCCCTGGCAGCCCAAACCTTTCCCAGAGCAGGCAGGGCTGCTCCAGGAAATGTCTGTTCTTGGTGTCTTTCTCCAGGGCTCCTACCCAATTGTAGAAGGGCGGTGCCCAGACAGCTCCTTCGGCCAGAGACCTATGCCGGCAGCCAAGGCTCTTCAGGAGAGGGTGTCAGTCCTCCACTCCCCTGCTTGGTAAAGCGACCTGAGAAGGGAAGGCGGCCAGAGGGAGACTCGAGCTGTCTCCCAGACTGGTCCTGACATTTCCCACACTGCCATTCTGCCCTCTCCTGGGCAGTGCTTGGTTGGGCAGGGGTCAGAGAACAGAGACAGAGACGGGAGGTGACACACAGGAAGTAATTACTCAGGACCCTGGCTGTGAATCCTGTGGATCCCAGACATCCCAGCGTGCAGGGCTCATTCACCCTAGGCAGCAAACCACGTGTAGAGAAGCCTGGAGACACAGAGGGTGGTGCTGGGGTGGTCCCAAAAGGTCACCTAATCTTTTATTCAGCATGGGAACTTTTTCTCTGGCATACTTAAATGTTAGCTAGTCTTAATCACCTCCAGTGATGGGGCTCACATGGTCTCCTTGGTCAGTCTTATTTGGAAGCCTCTGCCTCTCTTGAGTCTCCCAGGCCCTTGAAGCTCCCAAGAGTGGAAGGAATCCAGGGTTTCCTAGACTTACTCCCTAAGAGTGAAGATGGGATTTAGCTAGTAGACATTCTGGGATACCCAAACCTGGATTCAAACCAAGTTAAATACCAGCTTATTTCTGATAATATTCTAATATCACATTTTTTTATAGTTCAATAGTACAAAAGTACTGCTTGGAGAGCCAGGCTTTAGCTCAGTGGTGCGGCCGCCTGCCCCACAAGAGCAACGACCTGAGTTCCATCCCCAGTACCAAAAAAAGAAAAGCCACAAAAGTACTGCTTGGAGCTGTGGTTTTGGCATGTAAGGCATTTATATTAGAAAAAAAAAAATTCACACATGCAATTTTGAGCCAGCAAAAAGTAATTTAGGGTGTTGATTCTAGGTTCAACCACATGATGCATTTCATTTTAACTTTGGTTCATTTCAAATCCTCAGCAGCCACTCTCCCTCTCCGGCTTCTGTACAGCACAACCTTCTTCCTGTAGCCAGCATCAGGCCAGTGCACCTACGCCCCTGGTTAACTAGCCTGTGAGCAAAGCCTCGCTTGGCCCCCTCAAGGAACTCAGCAGTCAGCTTTCTGGGTGGCCACAAAGGTCGGGGTTTGGCCCACAGAGTCAGCCTACAGTGTCCAGTCAGAGGAAAGAGAAAGAATCGACTCAGGAAAGACACAGAGGGGAGTAAGGAGAAGAGAACGGAGGCTATGGACAGACACACGTGTACTGGGGAGATGGCAGAGGGCTGGTGGTCAGCTGCCCTGGCTTCTATGTCACCCTCCCAAAGTAAACAGGGCCAACGACTCTGCCTAGCACATCCATGCCTTCCCTGGGGCAGCCAGGGGATCAGGGCTTGTGGCGCAGCCAGACACAGGGTGCAGGCCGGTATGGGGCCAGCAAGTCCCCATGGGTCACCTTAGCTCTCTGTGGCGAAAGACTTACAGTAAAACTGCATACAATAGAACTCAGAATGAAAATGGTTTATCCATAAACAGCATTGACACAGCTAAAGAATCAGTGAACAAAAATGAGTGGCAACAGTGACCTCAATTGCTAACTGAAATTTTAGGTACTCAACAAGGGTAAAAAAAAAAAAAATCAGTCTCTGCTCCGAGACATGGCAATCGGCCAGCCACTACTTAAAGGCACCCATTTGGGGTCCAGATGTACCGAGTTTCCAAGCCAGAATCACCTCGGCCCTCAGCCAGCACACAGCCTCATCTAGAGGTGCAGTCCAGGACAGCAAGGGTCTTCTCGATCCCTTCTTAGGGGAAGGTGGCCCCTTCTGCCCCCAACACAGGAACTGCACTGTCTCCCATAGAAGCAAGGCAGCCTGTCCCAACCTGCGCCCAAGGGGAAGCTCCAGTGAGACGCTGGGACCGGTCATCCTCGCCTTTGGCTAGGGCAGTGACGGGGACAGATGGGACAATTCCAGGGGGTGCTGACTCTGGATCAGAGACTTAAGTAGAAGGCTCCTGTGTGGGCCCCACCCTCTCTGTTTCGGGGTGTGGTGCTCTTGGAAGCGTTCTCTCTCCCAAGGGCCCCTACCCTGGAATCCTGAGGTCAGTGTTCTCAGGAGTAAGCAAGGCGTGACCCAGGAATTGGGGTCCCTTAAACCCTGCTCTCCAGTCTGCACAAGAAAGCTACCCCGAGCCAGTCCTTGTCTGGATGGGACAAGCAGGCTCAGGTGCCAGGTTTAGGACTGCAGCTTAGGCTGTACGGTATGCGTGGGTGGACGCCCTCGACACTTCTCAGGTGCTGGAGAGTGGGCCGGCCTCAGCGCGCGCATCTGCAAGGCAAAAGACAGAATTAATTGAGCAGAGCCAGCGCGCAGCGCATAATCCAGGTCGGGTCTTTGCGCCGCAGGCTGGCGGATCGCGGCAGGCGCGGCCGTGGGATCTGGGCTGGAGGTGGAGGGGCTGGAGCCCGGCAGTCAGGCGACGCGCTGGCCAGGCCGGCCCGCAGCAGAGGCCCCTCCCCGCGCCCCCTTTCCCCGGCCGGCGCTCTCCGCGTCCCACCTGAGGCCACACCCTGAAATCAAACTCGCGGCCAGGTGCAGCGGCGCTGCGCAAACATGCAGCGCAGCCCCTCCCGCGCTCCCCGGCGAGGTCCTTCCCGCGGAGGGCGGGCCGGGACGGCCTCGCGAGCGCTCCCGGGCTTCCCGCGCCGCAGGTGGGTGCCGATGGCCGGGCCGCTCTCCCCCCGCGCCCCCTTCTCGGGGCTCTGCGTCCCCGAAGTTCGGCCGTGGGCATGGCTGGATTGGGGCCCTAGGAGCGCGACCGACCTCGGCGTGGCGCCGCCGGCAGCAGGGGCGCGGGGGCCGTGGCGGACTGCGGAGGCTTCGACCCAAGCGCTCTGCGCCCACCGCCCCCTTCTGTGCGCCCCGGGGCAGCCGCCCGGCCTCAGCCCCGGGGTCGCTCAATCGGAGGCGGGTGCGGGGCGGCTCCCAACGCCCTGGACTCCAGCCAGTCGCAGAATCCATGAGGGCACTTACTACATCTGTAGCAATGTATTTGTGGTGTGTTTCTGCCTAGGCCTGCGAAGGACTGGCCCTGGAGACTCCTTGCCTCCTGCTCCTCTGCGCCTAAGATACCTGACCGCTGAAGGGAGGAGACTCGAGGAAGAGGAGGCAAAGAAAGCGGCCCAGAGGTGAGTGAGGGGCCTCCAGAGCTTGCCGAGGGACAGTAGGCAGGCAGGTGGCCCTCCTGAGTTGGCTTCCTCCTGGGATTGTGAGGCAGCCGCATGCCCTCTCGCGGTGGTGTTTCTCAATCCTTCGTGGGTGCTCTCGAAGTCACTTGGACGCCTCAGCCCCAAGGTAGGTTAGTAGAGCTTCAGACAGCTTGACCCGTGCTGCGCCCAGCCTCTGACTGTCATCCGGTTTGATGCCTGTGTGTGGCAAGGCAGTATCACCCAAGCCTGTACCATTGCCCCAGACCTTCATACGCCCAGGGAGTGGCATTCCACGCGTGGTGTAGGTGCAAGGAGCAGCAAGGGCTGAGACACAGAGGGGTCCCAGGTGTGTGCTGCGTTCTCCATAACCTGCCTTATTCTAGGCTCCTCTGGCTTGTTTTTCTAGGTGGAGGTTGCGGGGGGAGGGCTCCCTTCTATGTCTGTGCTCATTTTTGTAGTTGATGCAGCATATACTGCAAGCTGTGAGTTCTCCTCGGGCCGTGTATAGGACAGTTGGCGAAGGACACATTTGCAACCAGGAAGAGCTAGGTTTGAATCCTGACTTTGCTTTTGACTCCTTAAGCAAGTTGCTTTACTTCTCTGCAAACTTTTTAATGTTGTTTGTAACCAGGGATAGTGAGGCTGTCCCCACAGCGTAGATGTGAGGAATTACTGTATACTGAGTGTCCAGCAGCCCCAGGGGCAGCCTCACCAGCCTCTGGTTAGAAGAGGTTAAGCTACCCTGAGCCCTCCTCCCTTAGAGGACTTTGAGAATGGTCTAGCCGTTTGGTAAGATGCTGTTGGAGGGTGTTAGAGCAAAACAATAGAAATAAAGTAAAAGGCAGAGGGTCCAAGGAGGCCCTGTGGTAAGAGACTCTAATTTGGGGGTCTGAGGACTAGGGAAGGGGCCATTTCTAAAATGGATCCAGATTTAGTGGCAGAAACAGCAGCATCCTGTGTACCTGTTACATGTGGACACATGTCCCTGGAGAGCCTGAGCTCACTGCTGCCTGGGGCAGAGGAGGTCTTTGGATAGAGGCTCTCAGTTTCGTTTCTGCTCCAAGTAGCTGTGTGATCTAGGGCTCTTCATTTGACTTCTCTGGACATTGGCCATGGTGGTGGATGACCTTGGAGCTAGGAGTTGGGGACTTTGCATCCCAGCTCCACACTTACCATCTTGGATGGTTGCTTCATCTGTAAAACTTTGGTTTCTTTGTCTGTAAAACAAAGCTTGTAATATCTACTATTAACCATTAGATGCACTAACAAAAAGCACCCAGTATCTAGCATGTATGCGGTAAGCTTTTTATATTCGTATCTTCCCTTTCTCTCCGTCTCCTGCCTGCCACCTTTTAAATAGAGCCAGTAGGCTTAGCTTATCTCGTGCTGGTTTTTTGAGCCTAAAGCAAGGAGGTAAACAAAATAGAGATATGAGGAGTTAAGCACTATAAAAGCACAGGGCCCTCTTTTTTTTTTTTGGTACCAGAGATCGAACTCGGGTCCTTACACTTAGGCAGCAGGTGGCAAAACCACTGAGCTAAATCCCTGGCCCCAGGGCCCTCTTGTGATTAGAGACTGTAGAGATTCTTTCTGGCTTGGCATTCAGGACTCTGTGCAAACGTCTCAGGCTTCTGTGTGTGGAGGCTGTTGGAATCTGAGTTAGGGAGAGGGTCCCTGGCCTGCAGCCCAGGGAATGTCGTGCTTCAGGTCTTCCCATGGCTGGCAAAGTCCTGTACCATGCACCGGGAGAGGAAGGGGATATAGTAAGGGAGGTCAGAGGGCTGGTCTGACTCAGATACAGCATTGTCCGAGCTGGTTGGAACGGGCCGATAGGTGGCCTGAGTCAATATTGACCTACTCGTCTGGCCACCCGGGCTCTCCAGCTTCTCATCTTCTCATCGGCTGGAGTGTTGACACAGCCACTGAATGAGATTAGATTCTTTTAAATAACAGCCCATTATCTCTCCCGTGGGGATGCACTGGGGCTCGTGGTGTAGAGATGGTGACAAGGAGCCGGGGGACCAGATATGTGGCTTGTTACCTGCACAGTACTGTCTGCCCTGGCATATGCCACATCTCCCTGGGTCGCTGAAATCAGACAGCAGAGCCTGTGGGTAAACTCTGCCTCTGAGGACTTACCACACTTGGCGCCAGGTTCCTGACCTGGTGTACACACCTGTGGGCACGGGGCAGAGGGACCAGCCTGGGGCCAAGATCTCCTGCTCTGCGGGTGGTAACTGGACAGAAAAGCAGGTGAAATTTCATTAACCCTGATGTATTTTAGGGGGCCATAATAGAGTTCTGGGGTGCTGCCTCTCTTGCCCCTTGTATCAGATGCAGAGGAGCAGAGAGCAGACCTGGACCCTGGTTAGGGCTGAGGGGAAGCAGAATTCAGTTCCACACAAAGATCGGCAGCAAGAGGACCAAGGGACAGAAGGCAGGGCCCTGGGAAAGGGGCAGGAGCTCCCTGTTGCTGAGCACACTAGAGCGCCGCTGGCCATGTGAAGGCTCTTCTCAGAAGTGCAGCAGAGGGACAGAAATTGGGGTGGGAAGAGGGCAGGGCTTGTGTGGAGTGCACCTCACCATCTCCGTGGATGGTGCAGGCCGCCATAACTCCTGCTTGGAAGAAACAAACTGACCTGAGTGAGGGAGAGGATCTCATCTTGTATACCATGGTCCCTAGAGCCCCGAGTACAATAGGTATATAATAAATATTTTTGAGTAAAGGAATCAATAATGTAATTTTTATATTCAAACAAACTCCAGGAAGTAAAGGTTGAGAAAAATCTTTCCAGCCAGACTATTCCAATGAAATTTAGCCTTCTGTTCACAGAAATTCTTACAGGGGGCCGAGGGACCCAGCCCTCCTTACAGAAGTGTATGTGTAACAGAGCCTAAGGAGGGCTACAGAGAGGCCAGGCAACCCTGATGCAGATCTTGGGGTGTCAGGCCCCCCTGTAGAGGGGACCAAGTCCCCTGCAGCCCACTCTGGAGCCAGATGGTGGCAGTAACCAGTGTCCTTGTCTAAGTTTTGTAGCTTCCCTCTTTCCAGGCTGTGATTCTAGGATAAGCCCTTCCCAGGGTGTCTTGGGTGGGCCTGAGAATGACACACAATGAGGTGGTGTGTGCTCATGGCTGACTGCAGCCGAGTTCACCCTCGAGTCTTGGGCAAGTCACTTAATCTCTGTGGCCTCTAGGTTCCTTGCCTGTGTGATGGCGACAGTAATTGTGCTCGGCTCTAGACTTGTGGGCAGGAGATCACGTATGTGACATGCTCAGTCCAGAGCCTGGTACTGATATTAGGTGCTCCCCAGGGGATGATTATTAAAAATACCTAGAACTGCTCCCTGAGCAAGAACATGCTGTAGAGCATGCTGTCACCCCCCTTGCCGTGCCTGCCAAGGCTGGCAGACATGAATGCGGCCAGCCCCTTGTCACCAGCAGAAATGCTAAGGCCTAGAGAAGGAGAGTAGGCCAAGGTCACAAGCCCTGAGGTCTTGCTGAGCCTCACGGCTGTGGATAAACAAGCCCGGAGCCTCCCTTGAAGGAAGCCAGGCTGTGCCTCCCCTACTCTGGCTCACTGACACCTTGAGCTGCCTGGGAACCGGGAGCTGGCCCAGGATAGAGCTGCCTCCTCACTTCCCAGTTGCCTGGAAATGGCGGGGAATCCCACAAGCCTCATTCCTAACAAACACTTTACCAACACCTCAGAACTTATGAAGCTGGCCAGATCCTGCCCCTTTGAGAGAAGCTGCAGACGCCCCAGGTTCACTTTCTGGTAGCCACATTTCCACCTTGGGGTGTACCCTTGAAAGAGATTCAATGTTTGAAAACAACCCAGACTCACTCAAAGCTGGGCCTGGAAGGTGAAGGGGACAACCACGTTGAACACTGTCACTCCTGGGACCAAGCAGAGGGGCTGGGGTGCCAGTGTTCAAGGCAGTTTCCAGAGGTGATTCCCAAAGAGGAATTCTGCAAACCCAGAGCATGTTTGGGGCAGATGCATTCCCAGAGGGTTGCCCAGAATGGCAAGGCTTATTTGAATGTCCAAGCTGCTCTGAGGTATAAATGCAGACTTCAGTGTATACAGCTCTGCCCTGGCTCTGTGATGCCCCATATCTAGCGGTGGCATCCCAGGCCCTAGCACATAAACATCTTCTCCCTCCAGAGGAGAAACAGTTGAAGAGGGTGACCCACCCACACTTCAGGCTTCCTCATCCCTGACGTGGGCACCAGAGGAGCCAAGCCAGGCTCCTCCTTGTCACAGGGGAGCAGTAGCATCAGCCACTGACCCTGCCCACCACTCCTGGGGCCAAGTCTCTGGGTTGCCTGGTTCCCTTCAGAGGGGCTCTGCTTTGCATATATGCCAGGCCTTGACCACCAAAGCCCCCCACCCGCACCCTGCACCATGACTTCTTTGCAATATTTTACCCACCCTTTGCAGGGCAAACAACCCCTGGTTCCATACCAGGGTAAGGGCCAACCTACAAATCAGAGCAGCTGGGTCCTCCGGGGTTTCACCTCACTGATGAGTCCAGGGAAGGACTTGCCAAGTGGGGTGGCGGGAGCTGCCCTGTCTCCCCACTGCTCCTAGCTCCTATGGTCAGGTAGGCAGAAGGATGGATTGGGGGTATTGGGATCAGATCTGGGTTCAAGCTCCAACTTCGTCATTCCTGGTTCTGTGTTCCAGAGCAAGTTATTTAGCCTCTTTGGACCTTGTCCAGATATGTGGATAATACTAACTCCTGCTTCTCAGGACTGCCTGTCCTTAGAGATGGCCTAGCCCATTAGCAGGTGTTCAAGAAAAGCTCCTGCCCTTCCTGTCTCTGAGTCTCCTCACACTTCAGTGACCCCAGGCCTGTGGCTCCCTGAACTCTCCCACCAGCTTGGCCTTGGCAGGTGTGGCAGCATTTCCTCCAGAAAGCCTCTGCCAGGAACTGCCCAGCTCCCCTCTGCCAGGCTCCAGGAAGCAGCCACAGGATCTGTGCCAAACTGGTTGGGGTGGACTCTTCCCTCCCAGAACTAAGTGCCCCCTTGGCCCCAGTCCTGCACCCACCCACCAAGAGGTCAAGTCTGCCATCACACAGAAAAGCAAAGTTCACAGCACTTCTCAGACACAACAGTGTGCTTTTACCCCAAGGCCCAACCTCAGCCTCCCTCCTCAGGTGAAGGCTAAGTGTCAGACAGGAGCTGGGGCCGCTGGAGCCTGCCCTTTGTCTGGCTCTGCCTCACTCCTTTAGGTCTGAGGCCCTCATTTTTCCGGGCAGGAAATGCAGGCACTCCCTACTCCCCCCTCACTCCTCTCTGTGTCTTTGCGGACAGCTCCTTGGCTCTGTGAATGGGGTGTGGATGCAGAGGTGGAGATCTTGGGCTTGACAGCTTGGAGGCTGGCATGGGCTGATTTGATGGAATGAAACAGCCTCAGAGCAAATGAAGTAACCGTGGGCCTTGGAAACTAGGGAGCCTTGGAAATGGCAAGTTGAGGGCTTCCGAGTGAGCAGCTGAGTGTGCCCGAACAGGGGACATCTGTGACAAAGTCTTACATTGACAGTGGCTGGGCACCTCTGGATACTAGGGTGGGTGAGTGTCTCTTAGACTCAGTCTTCAGGAATCACTGCTCTCTTGATTTAAAAGTATCTTATTATCTTCAGAAAAGCAATCCATCATCTTTAAGGAAACTCTAAAAGAGTAGAGAATGAGGTAGCAGAAAGTCAGTCACCTGCAGCCCTACTGGCTGAACATGTAGCAATTATTTTGATGTATTTCCTCCAAATATTTATTGTATTCCTACTGCACTGACACATTCGTATAGGTAATATCTTCGGTAATATTTTCCTACCCCTACATTGTACCATCGAGAATTCTGCTTTAGGCAAAGAGAACCTGGATATTTAATTTGTTTCTGGGACACATGGATGTGGACAGGTTTGGATCCAGCCGCTCAGGGCCACCAGAAGGACCCAGCACACTTGGACCATGGTGGTCAGCGGCACCAGACACGGGGAGAGAAACAGCCAAACAGCACCTCCCCTCCCGCCACCAGCAGCATTTCACCTGTTAATTTGGGAGCATGATCTGAACTCATTTTTCCGGGTTCATCTTTGGCCACATGGACAGGTAATCACTTCAGCGACATTTGTTGAAAAGATCATCCATTCTCCATCACAGTGCAGTGTCACCTTTGTCATAAATCAAGTGACCTCGGATGAGTGGTTCTATTTCTAGATTCTCTCTTCTGTTCCATTGGTCTGTTTGGCAGCCCTTGTGCCAGTTCTATACTGTATTAATTAGGGTAGCTTTATAATACATCTTGATATATATTTAGTATAATCCTCCAGATTCGTTCTGTAAGATTGCCTGGGCTATTCCTGGATCTCTGTTTTCGCTGTACATTTTAGAATCAGTGTGTCAATTTCTGCCAGAAGAAATATGCTGAGACTGAAATAAATCCATAGGTTAATTTGAGAGTAATTGACATCTTCACAGTATTAAATCTTCCAATCTGTGAACATTCTTTCGTATCTTTAGTAATGTTTAATATTTTTCTATGTGAAGACCCTGCTCAGGTTTCCTTAGATTTATTCCTATGTATTTGATATTTTAATGCAAATTGGTAAATGATATCTTTTCATTTTGGATTTGTTACAGGTACATAAAATTCAATTGTCTTTTTTTTTGAAACTTCAGCATTTTTTTTTTTGAGACAAGAGTCTTGCTATGTAACCCAGGCTGGCCTCAAACTTGCAGCAGTCCTCCTGCCTCAGGCTCCCAAGTGCTGGGATTACACATGTGCACCACCACACTCAGCTCAACTTTTTAAAATGTTGACCTTGAATTGAGGACCTTCTAAATTCACTGACTTAATCCCCATAACATTGTGTATGAAGCATCTTCTGGATTTTTTGTTTACATAGCCGTGCCATCCCAGACAGTGCTGGCCTTGCCATGTGTCAGATGCTCCCAGCAGTCCTCCCTTTTAAATTGGGCTCACTTGATGGATTCTGCCAGCTCCTCGCCCTCACCACTGGAAGCTTGGACCCTGGACTCTGGGCTGTTCTTTCTGCTAGCCCTTTCCTGCTGGCTCTGGGAAGATCGTGTTCTGAAATCACCATTAGGATGGGCTCAGGAGGGAGATCCCAAGTCACTTAGACCATTTGCTAAAGATGGCTCTCCGTGCCTTCCTACAAGAGCCAAGGGCTCAGCTCAGAGGGGGTAGCTGGGGAGAGGGTTGTGTTGGGAGAGAACAGAGCTCTAGTCTTTTGTCCTTTGCAAGTCCACATCACTCCTAACTGTTCCTGGAGGTCAGGAGGACCTAAAAAGCAAACCTTGGGCCGGGATTTAGCTCAGTGGTTCCACGACCTGCCTCACAAGCAAAAGGTCCCAAGTTCGGTCCCTGGTCCAAAAAAAAAAAAACTCCCGTCAATGAGACAAGCAGGCATGGCCACCAGTGATGTTTTGTGCAGAGTTCTAACACCAGAGAGGAATCCCAAAAGGAGTGGGGTTCTCTGCCTTCTCTGGAGAGCTGTGCCCTTAAGATGGCCACTGCAGGTCCACCCCAGGCTGTCCCTTGGCCTGGACCCTTTCTGGAATTGAGTCCAAGTACTGCTGGCCATGAGGGCCCTTTTGGGGCTCCCTGGTCCTAGGATACTCAGCCCCAGCCTGAGCAACATGACTGAATCAGCTGGTTGGCTTTTTATTGATGTCATATCATATTAACAGGTTTTCTCTTGTATTATCCTGGGACAAACCCAAGCTGATAGTGATAAACAAAGAAAACCCTTTTAATACACCACTGGAGCCAATTTGCTAGTTTTGTTAAGATTTGCATGTTTGTAGTCATAAGCGAAATTGGTTCAAATTTTCCTCTCCTTGTACTCTTATCAGGTTGGAGAATCAAGGTCATACTTGCTGTATAAAATAAGCCTGCTAGCTCTCCTCCCTCCTTTCCCTTTTAAAAATTTCTTTGACAGTGAATGATATTTGTAATGGGCTTTAGGTTTTATAAAAACACACCCCCAGAGTCTGCCTCCTTGGCAGATGTGGCACAGACAGAAGAGAGACACCTTTTCCCTTTTCCTTGTTTACAGTCTGTATCAGCTTGTTGTCTCTGAGACGCTTCTGCTGGGAGTTGGCCCCTTCCCTAAGGAAGTGGGGGTGAGCAGGAAGCCCAAGGCCAGGGACAGAGGGGTTGTGCTGCAGCGGGGAGGAAGAGAGCCCCAAGCCAGTTCCCAGCATCTACTGCAGCCACCCCACGGTCCCCGTGCTACAGCTCAGCTTGACTCTCCCCTTGCAGGCACCATGTTCCGCAAGAAAAAGAAGAAACGTCCTGAGATCTCAGCCCCACAGAACTTCCAACACCGAGTCCACACTTCCTTTGACCCCAAAGAGGGCAAGTTCGTGGGCCTCCCACCACAATGGCAGAACATCCTGGACACACTGCGGCGACCCAAGCCCGTGGTGGACCCTTCTCACATCACCCGGGTACAGCTCCAGCCCATGAAGGTAAGGGGTTCGTCCTCTGCCTCGCCACAGGAAACTACTGGCAGAGCCCCTGGGCACTCGGGGGCACTAGCAGTATAGAGGCAGCACAGCTCACAGTGTAGAGGAGCCAGTTGTTCCCATTCCCTGCTCATCAGTCTCTCCCCGGGGAGCCAGGAAGAGGAGCCTGGAGTATCTTTGGGCACTGAAAGGGATGCCAGATTTAGCAAATAATAATCCATGATGCCTGATTAAACTCGAACTTCAGATAACACAAATACTCTTTAGTATAAGTGTCTCCTATGCAGTATTTAGACCCATGGCCCCAAAAGAGCCAGGGCTCTTCCAGACCAGGGGAGTTTAGCTGTGGGGGTCCAGATGGGAGTTGGAAGAGCCTGGTGGAAGTTAGGGTCAGGGGCCCTGTCGAGGTGTGTGGACCACAAAGCCAGTGTGTGTTGGGGCTGCCCCTGGACTTCTCAGATGGTTCTGCAAGTCTCTAAAGGCCACTGGAAGGGCTGGAGAATGCAGCCCTCTCTCCCTGTTCTCCCCAGCTCCCGAGACTCAGCTGGCTACACCACTTGGCATGCTTGAGTGTAACCCCTGCTGCCCTGCTAATAAGGGGGCTCCTCCCTGTATCCCTGAGGGCTGCACCAGCTTAGGCCTGACCCACTGTGGGCCCTGGGAGTGACTGAAAATCAAAAAGTGCTTGGTAACGCAGAGTGGGTCGACAGGTGTTCCTCTCAGGGTCCCTAGGAGGCTCCCCTCCGGACCCTAACCCTAACCATCCCCACCTCAAAGGGCTGCTTACCTGTGCCTCTTCTCTTTCCCCTGCAGACAGTGGTGCGGGGCAGCTCCGTGCCCATGGATGGCTATATCTCAGGGCTGCTCAATGACATCCAGAAGTTGTCGGTCATCAGTTCCAACACCCTGCGTGGCCGCAGCCCCACCAGCCGACGCCGGGCACAGTCCCTGGGGCTGCTAGGGGATGAGCTCTGGGCCGCTGACCCAGACATGTACCTCCAGAGCCCCCAGTCTGAGCACACTGACCCCCACGGTCTCTACCTCAGCTGCAATGGGGCCACACCAGCAGGTCACAGGCAGACGCCATGGCCCGAGCCACAGAGCCCACAGGTCCTGCCCAATGGGTTGGCCACCAAGGCACACTCCCTGGGCCCTGTTGAGTTCCAGGGTGCCTCACAGCGCTGCCTGCAGCTGGGTGCCTGCCTGCAGAGTTCCCCTCCTGGTTCCTCGCCCCCCATGGGCCCAGGGAGGCGTGGAGTGAAGGCTGCCAAGCACAGCTCCGAGGAGGCCCGGCCACAGTCCTGCCTGGTGGGCTCAGCCTTGGGCAGGCCAGGTGGGGAAGGGAGCCCAAGCCCCAAGACCCAGGAGAACAGCCTCAAGCGCAGGCTCTTCCGAAGCATGTTCCTGTCCACTCCTGCCACGGCCCCCCTGAGCAGCAGCAAGCCAAGCCCTGTGCCACAGAGCAAGGTAGGTCACACTGGGGCCACTCAGGGACGTCGGGCATGACTGGGCAAGCGTCTAAAGGGCATGGGTCTCAAGGGTGTGAGTCTGCTGGGTCAGGGCCAGGTAGAAGGTGTGGGACCAGAATGCTCACTGAGCTAGCTTAGCCTCAGCTGAGCTTGGATCCTGGGCCAACTGAATCCATGTCCTCCAAAGGCTTAGCATGTGTGAGTCGGAGACTGTAAGCCAGATCATTTAGTGGGGGCACCCTGCTGACACACCTGTGCTCCAAGGACTAGGTGGACCACACTGGGGGCAGCCACCCCAGCGGAGGTGTGTGCTCCAGCCTGGGAAAGCAGATACTCCGCTTCCCCTCTCCTGACCCAGGACTAGAGAGGGGCTCCCTGGATGCCGCTGGGTGACAATCCTGCCTCTGTCCTGGCTCCCTCCTTTCCGTGTTTTCCCACTTGTGTTATTGTTTTGTTTCACATTTCCATAGTTGTGTCTTCTCCAGTGAGTGTGCTACATGAGGAGCCAGAGGACTGAATTTGCCCAGGTCAGGAACCACAACAGAGCAGCCTTCCGGCCCATGTGACGGCCTCCACGCATCTCTTTCTTGCGAGAGAGGAAAGTGTGAAGTGACATTTCTTGGCAGGCAGACTAGAGCATCTTTTGCCTCTTACCTGTCCTGCAGCATGCTACCTGCAGTGACAGTTACACCCTTTCCTGTTTGGCACACCAGAGGACCGACTCAGGGAGGCAGTGCCCAGGTTTTTAGAGTGAATCAGAAAAGGCATCAGGGAGAAGGTACTTGCTCAGGGATACCCAGCCTGTTCTGGAACCTCCTCGGGGCTCCTGGTTTTTGCTTAAAAGGCTTTACAGCTGTGGTAGCGAGCTGTCCTCTAGCTTCTGAGAGACCGGCACCAGTGAACCTGAGCCACGGTACGAGGGTTCTAAGTCAGGCCTGAGAGACAGCTGCCAGCAGTGCCATGAGTGATGGAGCCTCCCCTCCCACTCAGGAGGGCTTTGGGGGCCTCTCCTGTTGGCGATAGTGTGAGGCCCCGCCTGGATGGAAGTGGGGACATCCTGGCCCTGTAAGCTTTCTAGGTTCCAGCCAGCTGAGGGCCCCAGGGAAGGTTTGGGTTTTGTGCACTCCAGCCCCTCACTGGGGCAAAAGACTGGGCTTCCCCTAGTGCTATGATGGTGAACCTGTGAATGCCACAGTGGGCATGCAGAGTTCTCTTTGTCGGCGCATGAGCCAAGTCACCATGTTATTTTTTCTAAACTCAAGGTGTTGGCACTTTGCAATAAATAAGTGGGTTTTGGGTTGCAGTTTGGGCACTTGGTCTCTAAAAGGTTCACCGTCACTACTCTAGGGCATGGCCTGATGTATCCATGCAAGGAACATGAGCTCAGGGGTCTCTGGAAGGCTGTGTCACTGGGGAGACATCCCCCAGAAGACTAAGGTGATAGCGCGACAGTGCACACCATTCTGGAGGTGAGAATCCGAGCTTGGTCTCTGGCCCCTTAGCAGTTCTGTAGATTGGCTTCAGGGATTTGGGAAAGGGTTGGCCCTGGGCTGGGCACTGGCACACGTCTGTCTGGGCTGCTCCCAGCGCCTTACAGTGGAGACACAGACCTGTCCATATCTCCCACTTCCTGAGAACCACCAAGGCCCCTGCTGCTGGGTGTGCCGGGGTATCCCCACCATGGAAGCGGGTGGGGTCACCTTGGGTGTGGAGACCACAGTCCCAGATCCAGGAAGTGGTCTTTTCTAGGCCCCACAGGCCCCACAGGCTCACCTTTCTAGATAAGTGTTCTTTAGCCAGGCCTTTGAAAGGCAGGGTAGAGGCTTCAGTGCCACTGTGTTGGTGATATGTAGGTCTGTTAATCTTTTGTTATGGAGCCTGTCCTGTGCTTTTTAGCAGCACCTTGGAACCCACTAGATGCTAGAGGCATTCCCAGTAGGGACAACCAAATATACCTTCAGATACTGCCAAGTATCTCTTCATCCCTGGAGGGGAAAAATCTACACACACGCACACACACACACACACACCCTGGTTGACAATGACAACCACTGCTTTAAGCAAATTCCAACACGGATGGGAAGCCTCAGGCTCTACCACCCCGGGACCCCAGACCAGGCCAGCCCTCCTTGCTAGACACAAGCCAGGAGCTAACTCTGGACACTTGGGGCAGCTGCCACCCGGCAGCCATGCTCTACCAGACCTTCAGGCCATCAAGGTCTGTGTGTCAGGTATGGCTCAGGCAAGTCTGAGTACAGGCCTCAGGTGTTCTGTGCTCCGGCAGCACAGCTGAAGAACTAAAAGGGCAGGTAGACCCAAGATGGTTAGAGCTGGGGATGGAGGTAGAAGTGGTTCCACTTAGAGTGGGAAGGCAAACATTGGTTGAGCACTTACTGTGTACCATTGTATTCTATTATATGCCAGAGACACATAGCACCAACAGGACCACAGCATAGTGGTCATAGAGGTCATGTGGTCCTCATACCTAAGGGATAACGAAACAACCCTCAAATCATGCAAATTAAATGAGATCATGCATTTAAGGCAGTCAAGGTGGTAAGCCCTCAATGAATGGCTTTATTATTTTTTAAAAACTGTTACAACCTAGCCTCTGCCTTCAGGGCCCTTAGGGTGCAGCCCCCTCAGCCCACAGCTAGACAGGCACAGATCCAACAGGGAAAACAAGGCATCACAGTAACTCAATGTGCGGCTCCTCTCATGGCCTCCTTTCCTTTTTTTTTTTTTTCTTTTTGGTGGTACTGGGGATCGAACTCAGGACCTTGTGCTTGTGAGGCAGGCGACGGCACCACTGAGCTAAATCCCCGGCCCTAACGGGCTCCTTTCCGCAAGGTCTCCACCATACGAGTAACCAGACTCAGTTCATGGCCTGTGACAGTTAATTCCTTCCATCACGGCAGGCCCCTTTTCCTTTCCTGCTGTGGTTTAATGAGTTTCATTGGGTCTTTGCCTTTGGTTACACTAAGTGAAACCTCCCTCCTTTTGGAAATAGGAGCAATGCCAACCAGGGGATGCTTGGGACCAGAGCCAGTCCCTCCCCTTTATGTCCCAAAGCACACTGGTGCTGAGCTCCTGTCCAAGGCCCCAGCACACAGGCTCTGTCTCTATCTGCAGCAGCATCACCAAAGGGGCCTTGACCAAGGGACAAGGAAGGGAACCCCCAGCCCAGCCCCTCCCCATGGCTCATCCCCTTCTCCACCCAAGCCCACACATCCACAGAGCAGGGAGGATCTGTATAGAAGTCCTGGAGACCAGAGGTGAAGGAAGGAAGTCCCCCCGCCCCAAGTCTGCATTAGGGGCTTCCAGGTGAAGAGAAGGGACCATTAAAATGACCTTCAGGGGGCCGGGGATTTAGCTCAGTGGTTTTGCCGCCTGCTGCACAAGCGCAAGGACCCGAGTTCAATCCCCGGTACTAAAAAAAAAAAATGACCTTCAAGGGAGCTTTAGGTGGCCCCCAGATGATGCTAGGATGGCGTGCTTTCTGAGTTCGGTCCACGTCTTGCTGACAAGCAGGCACTGCCTCAGTCCTGAGCCTTTTACAGACCCTTGGCCTGCTGGGTGACAGTGATAAAGTGAGTCCCACCCCACCTCCCGGTGCCTGCCTGGCCCTACTCCCAGGACAGGCATCATAGACTTGGTGGCCCCTTCATCCCTCCCCCACTTCCCCTACCCTCCATCCCAGCCCTTCCCAGAAGTTCCCTGTGACCATGGAATTACAGAGTTCATTCCTCCTAAGCTTCTCAAAGTGTGGGCCAGGGGACACCTACATCCAAACCTAGGGACCTTGAGAAAATACAGCATCTCTAGGGACCTTCAGAGTCACACTCTAAAGCCCAGAAATCTGTGGTTCACCTAGGTCCCCAGATCACTGCACACAGCCCCCTCCTCTATGGAGGAGACAGCTCAGACACTCATCGAAGGGCAGAGCCGACCAGGTCCTGAAGCCTTGCCCAGAGCCCAGAGGTCCTGTTCAGCCATCACAGTGGAGGAACAGAGAGACAGGGACCCAGGAGAATCTGCTGGCTGTTCCAATGCTCTTACCGAGGATGAAGAAGGCCAGGCAGTCCAGGGAGGCTTTCTGGCTTCTTCCCTGCAAAGGATAAGCTGAGCCAGGCACAGCCTGCCAGAGGCCCACGCCCCCTTTGTGGGCAGGCAGGTTTGTGGCCTTCTGCTGGCAGCACCCCCACCCCACTGCTACCTATTTAACCCCAACCCCAAGGCCAGGGACAGCCCCCTGATGCAGCAATAGAGCTTGAGAAAACTGTGGCCAGTCCTAGCAGAGACTGAGACCTAGATTTGGGGACCCCAGGCAAGCAGCCCAGCCCAAGGTGACTGAGGAGATTCCCTGCAAGTCAGGCCCAGCAGGCACAGGCACAAGATGCCTGCCAGTGTGCTGAATTTAGAGAAGTTGCACACAGGCCTCTCTATAGTCCCTGCAGTGTCCCTCACCTGGCACCCTTTAAAATTCCATGATCCCCAGGAGGGGTCTTCCTGTACTTCACCAGCTCCTTGGGGAAAACTGAAGGATGGGTCCTTTTCCTACCACAGGGCAGCAGGGTGTGGTCCAGGAAAGGCTCCCAGGGCTGGGTCTGAACGGGGCGTCCTGGGGGACCAGGATGCCTCTCGCTCCCCTTGCCCTGCAGCCTCCCTTCAAGGGGCTGTAAGGACTGGCACTCCACCTTCTTGCCCTTCCCCAGGCCTCCTCAGCCAGGAGTTTCCTGCCTGGAGGACCTGAGGGGATGCTCTGGGGAGTCCTTAAGATACCACCCCCCAGCCCTGGCCTCAAGACTTGGGTTTGTCTGGACCTACCCTCCTGATCCTGGTCTCTCTGGCACCAGATCCCAACGCAGAGGGGTCACCTGAGAACCCGTGACGAGAGACAGAGCTCTGCAGGCCTCTGCAGGGGTCAGAATCCCTTGGCACCAACACGCAGACTCCTGCTGCAGGCATGGAAAGGCTGTCCGACCCCAGCTGTGGCAGCCTCTCCACGGCTCCCTGCCCAGTGCCACCTCTGCCCACATGGGGAGCCCCACAGCACAGAGGGAGGACCCTGCCTCACAGTGGGCTCTGCAGGGCCTGGCTGCCACTTGCCCAGGAAGAAATGCCCAGATTGAGGCCACCCCAGGGACCTGGCTGTCTGCTTTGGAGTAGCAGAGCGATGTGAGAAGTTGCTGTTCAGCCTGGGGACTCTTTCCATCGGGACCGGGTTTGGGGTTCAGCTTCACTTGAAAATCTCTGCCCACAGCCCCTCCCCAGCTTGATCTGCAACCCTGCTTGATGCCGCTAGTGTGTCCAGATGTCACAGTGGCCACTCCCTGCTTGAGGGAGCTTGCTCTGGACCTCCTTCAGCCACACCCCTCTGTCACTTGCCTTGTCTCTGCAGCCCGACTCTGCTTTCCGACCACCACAGAAGGACTCCCCACCCAGCCTGGTGACCAAAGCGCAGTCCTTGCCCTCAGACCAGCCCATGGGGACCTTCAGTCCTCTGCCTGCCTCGGACACCAGCAGCCCCCAGAAGTCCTTCCACACAGCCCCAGCCACTGGCCCGCTTCCAGGCCGGTCTTCCCCAGCAGGCTCTCCCCGTACCCGGCAAGCCCAGATCAGCACCAGCAACCTGTACCTGCCCCAAGATCCTGCCGTGCCCAAGGGTGCCCTGGCTGGCGAGGACACGGGCATTGTGACACACGAGCAGTTCAAGGCCGCACTCAGGATGGTGGTGGACCAGGGTGACCCCCGGCTGCTGCTGGACAGCTATGTGAAGATTGGAGAGGGCTCCACGGGCATCGTGTGCCTGGCCCGGGAAAAGCACTCGGGCCGCCAGGTGGCCGTCAAGATGATGGACCTCAGGAAGCAGCAGCGCAGGGAGCTGCTCTTTAATGAGGTGGGAGACTTGGTGGGCAGGGGCGGGTTCGCCGGGGAGGGTGCTGAGCACACAGCTGGGCTGGACATCAGTGAGCAGCAATGGTAAGGTGCTGTGCCCGGGGTGCTGTGCTCCTCATTAGGCCTCTCCGCCCTAGGTGGTGATCATGCGGGACTACCAGCACCTCAACGTGGTGGAGATGTACAAGAGCTACCTGGTGGCCGAGGAGCTGTGGGTGCTGATGGAGTTCCTGCAGGGCGGGGCCCTCACGGACATCATCTCCCAAGTCAGGTGGGTAGCTAGGAGCCCAAGCCCGCGCCCACGGACGCCTTGGCGGGCGGATCGGGCAGCGCTTGGCTGAGGAGACCTGGGGGTAACAGACCCAGGGGCTCCAGGGGAGCGGGGAAGAGAAGAGGACCCTGGGGCTTCAGCCTGACTGCGCTGCTCAGCACTGTCTGGGTGCCGTGGGCCTCCACTCTGCCCAGCACCAGCCACCCTGCGGTGCTGACCTTCTCTCCCACTGGGTGGGCCTGCCTGCCCTGTCCAGGCTGAATGAGGAGCAGATCGCCACAGTGTGCGAAGCGGTGCTGCAGGCCCTGGCGTACCTGCACGGCCAGGGTGTGATCCACAGGGACATCAAGAGTGACTCCATCCTGCTGACCCTCGACGGGAGGGTAGGCACAGCTGTCCTTCCCCACCACACCCTTCCTGTTCCCCAGGTGCCCTCCTCCTCCAGATCCCCCACCTCCTTCCCTTCCAATCCCAGGTGAAGCTCTCGGACTTTGGATTCTGTGCTCAGATCAGCAAAGATGTCCCCAAAAGGAAGTCCCTGGTGGGAACCCCCTACTGGATGGCTCCTGAAGTGATCTCCAGGTCTCTATATGCCACGGAGGTAACCATCCCTTCCACCCTTAGGGTTCCCCCTTTAGCCCCCTTGGCAGCCCCCGCCACAAATAGCCCTGGTTCTCAAGTTCTCACTTAGGATCACCCCTCTCTCAGATGGGGCTGCTCTCACCTGTGCTTTGTTGCCCAGTGTGAGTCCCCACCAAGGCCAAGGGGCACAGGCTTCTCCATGCATGGTGGCCTCCCACAGCCACTCACGTGTGTCCCCACAGTCACTGGCCACTCAGGCAGGAAGTGACTGACCATGGGGCCTCTGGCCAGGGAGGAAGGAGACAGGCTCACCCAGGAGAGCAGGGGCCAGCACGCTGCCACCGAGGCCCAGATTCTGGGTCCAGACTCAGTCGGGGACATTGTCCTCCTGCAGGTGGATATCTGGTCTCTGGGCATCATGGTGATGGAGATGGTGGACGGGGAGCCCCCCTACTTCAGTGACTCCCCTGTGCAAGCCATGAAGAGGCTCCGGGACAGCCCCCCACCCAAGCTGAAAAACTCTCACAAGGTAGGCAGTGCAGAATTTGTGACCCCACAGACCCCATTTCTCCTGAGGTTCCAGGACAAGGGCCTAGACCCCCAGCCAGGCCCAGCTGCTCCTCTCCGCCAAACGGAGAAGGTCTGGGCTCATCTTTCGGCACACAAACTCTGCCTGGAGTGTAGAGCCACATTTACACATGAACCCCACCTGCAGCTGCAGCGCTAGGGTCACTCCTCAGCAGGCACTTGACAGGACACTAGAGATGTCCCCGAGTGGGGACAGCAAGGACTCAGGGATCCCTGCTATTCTGGGGAGGACCCCAGAGGAGCCCAGTTGGGCACAAACCATTCCTCCACAAGGCCAAGACAGCATTTCCTTTAAGATGAGTGTGTGTGTGTGTGTGTGTGTGTGTGTGTGTGTGTGTGTGTGTGTGTGTG